ATTTAAACCATAGGTAAACCATATGGTTCATTTAAAAAGCCTGCAGTTAGAAAGCACAAGATAGGTCTTTAAAGGAAGCCATACACAGCAAGTCACTTCTCCTGGGGTGATCATAAGGAATAAAATCAATGTAAAGTATTGATACTGAAATCAATAGTTATCATACAGACTTTAAATTAGACACAAATACTAAATGGCTGCAAAAATTAACTTGCAGCCTTCATCTGTCAACCTTCAAAGTCCAAGAGTAATTAGCCTCAAAGTCAAAGATCACCTTTAGGTACCATCAACATAAGGACAGGGAAATCAGAAACACTGTGTGTTACCTGGAACCAACCATTCTAACTGTACTGCAGGAAAGCCTATGTGAGTCTCAATCTCATTCTTAAAGTGGCAGAAATCAACAAACAGGAACAGTAAGCAAATTTAAATGATAATTCGCAAAACTCTTCAGGGGCCTGGGAAAACTGAACGCTGTGTTCAACATCACACTAAAAAGCAGCTGCAAAGCTTATTTATTTGCTTATACCAGGAAGGTCCCACACACATTTCTAAATTAGTAAAAAGTGAGATTGAGATGATACTTCAACCAAAGGTAATTTTGCCATTTGCAGAAACAACTGTGTAGTATTCTGCTATGGCACCAACATAGCCATACAGCATGGAAATAGACCCTTCAGTCCAACAAGTCCACGTCAACCATATTCCCAAACTAAACTAATCCTATTTGCCTGTGCCTAGCTCATTTCCCTCCAAACCTTTTCCCAGTTCTAAAACCAAATGGATCCATTAGAATTGTATCAATAGAACATATTTATTAACAGAACATACCAATGCAGTACAACAGGAAATACACCTAATGGTGTCCACAGATGAGAACCCATTGAAATTCAAACACAGCACAATCTTCACAAAGCTGGATGCCAACAACGGATTCGAGCAACTTCCTCTAAATGAGTAGTCAAAACTTTTAACGACCTTCAAAAACTCTTTGGAAATTATTGTTTCCACCAATACATTTTGGTATCGCGTTCACACCAGAGATTTTCCAAAGTTCACTATCCAAAAGACTTGGAGGTATGGAAGCTATATGCTGCATGAATGGCATTCTTATTCATGGATTCACTAAAGATCTACATGATAAAGCGTACGGTTAGAGTTGAAAACATCAAGATGTTTGGTTAATATGAAGTTTGAATTGTGAATTTTCAAAACCAATGAAAGCATTTTTCGGCCACAATTTTCAGGCAAGAGGGAATGTGGCAAAACCACAGATCCAGGGAGTGTTTTCTCTGGTTGTGAAGTCTAGAACGAGGTGACATTGCCTCAGGTTAAGAGATGGACCACTTAGCACTGAGATGGAGTCAGATGTACAGCACAGAAACAGACCCTTCTGTCCAACTCGTCCATGTCGACTAGGTATCCTAAACAGATCTAGTCCCATTTTCCAACATTTGTCCTATATCACTCTAAATTGTTATTATTCAAGTACCCATCCTGATGCCTTTTAAATGTTGTGTGTAGCTGGAGAAACACAGAAGGGTCCCAACCCAAAACATCAGCTTTCCTACTCCTCTGATACTGCCTGACCTGCTGTGTTCCTCCAGCTGTACACTGTGTTATCTCTGACTCCAGCATCGGCAGTTCTTACTATCTCTGAGCCTTTTAAATGTTGTTATTGTACCAGCCTCCACCACCTCCTCTGGCACCTCATACCATACACACACCACCCTCTGTGTGAAGAAGTTGCCCTTCGGTCCCTTCTAAATCTTTCCCCTCTCATCTTAAGCTATGCCATCTAGGTTTGGAATCCCGTACCCTGGGGAAAAGACCTTGGCTATTCAATCTAACCATTCTCCTCATGATTTTATAAACTTCTATAAGGTCACCCCTCAGCCTCTGACACTCTAGGGAAAATAGCCCCAGCCTGTTCAGTCTCTCCCTTTAGCTCAAACCCTCCAACCCTGCAAGATCCTGGTAAATCTTTTCTGAACCCTTTCAGAGGAAAAGATTCTTCACTCAAAGAGTAGTGAACCTATGGAATTCTCTACCACAGAAGGATTTGTATGCTAAGTCACTGAACATGTTCAAGAAAAAAAGAGATGAATTGTTAAGATTAATAAAATTGTAAAGGCATCAATGGTTTGAGGAAAAAGCAGGACTATGGCATTGAGCTAGAGGATCAGCCATGATAACATTGAATGATGGATTTTATGCAAAAGGCTGAATGGCTTACTTCTGTTCCTTTTTTCTATGTTATTATGTAACAGCACTGTGGGTGTCCATATACCCCAAGGACAGCAGCAGTTCAAGAGTAATCGATGATCAGCAATAAATTTGGCACCATGATGCCCATAATCCATTAATGACCAAAAAAAGTAAGCTGGCAAGAAACATAAAAATAGACAGTAAAAGTTTCTAAGGGTATGTAAAAATCATCATAGAATCCCTACAGTGTGGAAACAGGCCCTTTGGCCCAACAAGTCCACACCAATACACAGAGCATCCCACCCAGACCCATCCCCCTAATCTGCACATCCCTGAACACTATGGGCAATTTAGCATTGTCAAATCCACCTAGCCTGCATATCTTTAGACTGTGGGAAGCAACCGGAGCACCCGGAGGAAACCCACGCAGACATGGGGAGAATGTGCAAACTCCACACAGACAGTCACCCGAGGGTGGAATCAAACCTGGGTCCCTGGCGCTGTGAGGCAGTAGTGCTAACCACTGAGGCACCGTGCCAAGAATCAAAAGTAGGTTCATCACAGGCAAAGTAGATTATATAATGAAGGATAGGGAAATGGCAGAGAAGTTAAATAATTACTTTGTGTCTCTCTTAACAGAAGACAGTACAAAGTATTTCCCAGATATAATAGAGGTCCAAGGGATGAGTGAGAATTAGACACTGAAGGAAAGTAGTTTTTGTAAAAGTATCATTGGAGAAATTTATGGGACCAAAGTTGACAAATGTCCAAGACCTGATGATCCACATCCCAGAATGTTAAAGGAGGTGAATATAAAAGTTGTGGATTTGTAGTTGAATGTCTTTCAAAATTATTTTGATTCTGCAGTATACAAGTAGAATGGAAGATTGCAAATGTAACTCACAATTACATTTGGAGGAGGAAGAGAGAAAACATAGAACTGCAGACCTTTTCTCTTGACAAACAGAAAATTAATGAAAAGAATGAACTCTTCCAAAATAATAAACTGATTCAGTGCAGACATGAAGTTATGAAAGTGAAAGCATGTTTGGCAAACTTGTTAAGATTTTTGAGGATACTATTTAGCAAAGTATATTAGGAAAAACAGTGATGGAGTGTATTTGGATTTTTAGAAAGCTTTCAATGAGGTTTCACACAGGAGGTTAGTAAACAAAATTAGAACACGTGGATAAAGTGTAACTATTGGAATATGGATAGATTAACAAAAAAGAAAATAAAAAATGGGAATAAATGGGTCATTATCAGGTTGTGGCTAAAGGTGTGCCACAAAGATCAGTACGTGTATCCCAACTATTCGTTATCCAATGTAATTTTTCCAAGTTTGTGGATTACACAAAACAAGGTGGGAATTTTTATTGAGGGGATGATGCAAAGAGGATTTGAAAGGGTTTATACAGGCTGCAGACTGGGCAAAAACATGGCAGGTGAAATATCATACAGTTTTTGAGAAATATGATATAGATAAGGATGAGGTTAATGACTTTGAAAAGAAGAATGGAGATGTAGACTATTTCCTAAATGGAGAGAAACTAGAAAGAATTGAGTTTTAAAGGGATCTGGGTGTCCTTACACATAAGCCATTGAGAACTCACATGAAGGTGAAACAAGCAATTAGGAAAATATGTTGGCCTTTATTACAAGAGAATTTCAGTGCAAGCATCAATAGTTGTGCTTCAATTATATAGAACCTTGGTGAGACCACCCTGATATATTGTGAGCAGTTGTTGTCCCCTTACCCACAGAAGGATGTATTTTCCATAGAGGGAGGTTCTAAGCTCGACTTCTGAGATGGCAGGACTGTCCTTTGAATGGAGATTTTGTTTCTGAACTCTATGGAGTTCAGAAAAATGTGAGGTAATCCATTGAAATTTAAGCAATTCTTAAGGGGCGAGATAAGTAGTTGTACAAAAAGATGATTCCCCTGGCTGGGAAAGCGTAAGGATTGGGAGGAGGGGCTGGTGGTGGTATCAGGGCGTTCTAGAAACAGGTCAGAATCTCTGAATTAGCAGCATACCATTTAGGGCTGTGAGGAAGAGACATATCTTAACTCAGAGAGAAGTGTATCTTTAGAATTCTTTTACCCTAGAAAGCTGTGGAAGCTCAGTTATTGAACGAGTTCAAGGCAGAGATCAATAGCTTCCTTAATACTAATGACATTAAAGTATACGAGGATAGTGTGGGAAAATGGCATCGATAAACATGATCAGCCATGATCTAGAATGGTACAACAGACTTAAGGGTCTACTCTTGCTCCCATACTCTTACATTTCCTATGTTCCTGTGTTGTTTTTTTCTGCATGTGTTTTAAAGTTTGGTCAATGATGTACACAGCATTGACCATCTGTGCATTCTGCCAGACATGCTGCACTGCTCTCCTGCAGGGAGAATGCTGTGTAGTGCAAACAGGAAGAGACTTTTCCCATCAACGGCATGCAGCAGCATGTCCCCTTTGCCATTCATCAAAAAGACAGTTTAGATGTTGCACTGCAATTCTTACTTCTACATCTAGGTTATCTATCACTGGATTTTGATCAACAATTCATATGCACTATGAAATGTTTGAAATAACAAAAAATAAATTTGAAAACTTTCTATTTTTATGTATTTTTGCCTGATAGACCGTTAATCATTTGTGCCCTTTTAAATTTCACAGGGTGCTGATGTGCAACTATCCCATTCCTCCCACACATACATACGTATAGTTAAATTTTAGATTTTTGTCTAATTTTTGCCATAAAGATTTTTTTTTAACTTTCCGTCTTTCTCTCAAGGTATTTGCGCACTATATATCTTGGTATCCGAAGCCGTCGGAGTGGGGAGCTTGACCACTGGCGATTTTATTGGAAGATGGTGTATGAATATGCAGATGTAAGTATGTTACATCTGTTGGCGACATTTTTGGAAAGTGCTCCACAGCTTGTGCTGCAGTTGTGCATCATTATTCAGAGCCATCGCTTAGAGGCACTACAAGGTAAGAAATGATCCATTTACCAAAAAAAACATTGTAAAAAACTTATTTCTACTGTAATTGTGGGGCATAAATTGTAATTACAGCATGGAAATAAATAATTTTATCCAATTAGTTCATGGGGTGTTTAACTTGCATATGAGTCCATATTCATATTCTGTCTGAATAGCCCATCATTTCCCTTACCTGCATCCATGCAATTAACACATCCTTAAATATTGAAATGTACCTGGGATTTCCTCAAAGCTGCTCTCACTCACCAGCCAGTCTGTCAAGTTTATATTTCAAAATGGTGTTTCCAGCACACTCCAGTTAAAGTCAAAGGATAGGATCCACTTCAAGGAAATATCATGACGGGTTTTCTGCTTCAGTATGTAGTATATTACCCAACTTCAGTAAATAACATATTGGAGGTTCTGAAGTGATCAATAGAATGTATTCTTAACTATCATGCTTGTTGGAAGAACAGTGAAAATGAGTTGCTTTTAAAAAGCCGCCAATGTAGTACTGGAAATTTTCCATCTTAGTCACCTTGATCAGAAAAATTGCTGTTCTCTTTACAAAAACCAAATTATGCTTGACAGATTATCCCTTCCATGTCAAAATAAATGTTTGTTCTTCACACTGTAGGTACAGAGCAATCTAACGGAGACAATTCACTTCGTGGAATGAATCAAAATATTTTCAACATTGTACATTGGTTATTTTCCGCACAGAAGATACTGAAATTACTTTAGACATTTAACAATACTTTGATTAGTTAATTGAGACTAAGCAGTGAAAGTCATTAACAGCTGTGTTCTCCTGTTGCTTCTGTAACCAGTTTACTCTGGGAAGAGCACAAGCAAGTCTGCTGCAAAGGTGAAAATACAACAAGACGTTGAAGTTTATTTAGAATATCTTCACAATATTGTATGGTCGTAATTAGCCACAAAATTTTGCACTTGTAAACTGAGAAGATTTTTCTTTAGACAATATGTTTAACAAAACTGAACTCATGGTCTTTATGAAATGACTTTGACTTGTACTGTTTCAATATTGCGCACGAAAAATCAAAACTTCACCACTTCCCTCAACACATTGGCACCTCAGAAATATGGTCAGTGTCACTTGTTCTTTGTGCTGTTTTTGTACTGACTGCAGTATGCAGCTAGCGGTGATGCAATCATCACGAAGCTGAGCAGCTAAAAATAGCACAGAACCAGTACATTTCATCTTCAAGTGCCAGTTGTCAGATTTGAAAGCGAATGCTTAGTTTGATCCAACCCAATCAAACCAATGCAGCTGGGGTCACTTCAAATTTGTGACCTAGATCTCCATTTGCGTCTACTGTGTGACTACAGATATTGTTTTCTTCATCCAAAGGGTTTTTAAATATTGATATTTGAGGCACATACTTGGACTTTTTACCTGAAAAATTGTCAATGAAAGTAGTTTAAATCCAATATTCAGTTTTTCATTTGTAAAATCATAAATCACAAACTACAAAGCACATGATTTGAATAAGAAATGAAGCTAGAATATTCATTACTATAGAAAGTCAAGGTGCAGCTATTTCTGAAATGAAGTGTTGGACAACGTGAGATTACAAGGTGTAGAGCTGGATAAACACAGCAGGCCAAGCAG